TTCAATAATACAGTCAACTCTTTCTAAGTGCAACCTCTCTAAGTGCAATATCTCTCTAAACGCAACTTTAAATTCCGGCCTAAGTATATGTTTAGTCTCTATAAATGCAAAATTTTTTTAATTGTTTTCTAAATGCATGCTGTTAAAAAGTCTGGTCCCAATGAATTGCATTTAGAGAGAGTTGACTATATTAGTCATTTGGCAAATATTCGAATATTTGCTGATTTAATGCTAAGTTATTCAGAATCAGTAAGCTCTAAATATAATTTGTATAACCACGTAATAGAGATCAAGTTGTATTGGATGAAAACGTTGATTACAAAACACGTAATAGAGATCTTTTCTTTAATTATTATGATGTGATATTCAGTTATCTGTGGTTGGTGGTAGAAAATATTATTAACCCACAAAGATATGAAAATTTTGCTCTTTTCTTTGTAGGTTTTTTTGCTACGGGGTAAGATGATGCGTCTAGGTTACGATTGGCGCATCTCATTGTAATGGTAAAATGATGGGTTTTATCTGAACATCCAAGACTAGAACGACTTATTTTTTAGTATAGATCTTTTTATTTTACATTATTACAAAGTTTTCATGCAATAACTTCTGCTAATAACGTCGACGTGTATTTCTTTAGTTTCTATATTATTACTTCTCTTAGTGTCTAACTCTAGATCGGATTTAGTTTTCTTGAATGCTTTATTCATTCATGCTTACATCCATTATTAGATACTGGGTTGTTATAAACCTAGTTGAAAAATACACCTCTATATTGTGACTGGGACAATTGAGCTAATTTTTTTTTTTTTTTTTTTTTTTTAGCTGAAACTAAGTATCCTTGTATAGGAGAAGCAAGTCATTACCGAGTAACTTTGAAAACTGTGTTTCAAAATAACGCCCCGGAGCGTGATTTAATGTCGATACGGTACAATTAGGGTTCTGCAAACTCATGTCAGGCATTATTAAGTTACAAGAATAAGATTATCTATAGTTGCTTATGCAATGCACTTAGGGTATTGCATATGCAGATATATAGAAATATATAAATGGTATGTGTGATTCTTAAACTTTGCCAATTATTAACGTTAATCGATGCATGCCATTTTTCAATCTCCACCGAAATATAATTATTGTAGATTTAGACTCTATGTACTTAGGTTGAACTGGAATCCCAAATGCAATCCACAATCTAAAAGTGATTTAAGTTGATTCTAAACAGGGATCTGCGGAATCTGTGATATAATTTAGCAAAATATGTGATTTACTTATTTGTACGTACATAAATTCTAAAAATTTATCTAGTAAAAAAAAAACTTGCGATTTTTTTTTAAAAAAAATTGCATTAAATTTCATTAGACTGTTCCGCTAAAGAACATACTATTTTATGGTAATTTATTATGTTCCGCTAAACAAAATACTATTTTATGGTAATTTATTATACTCTAAATAAAATACTATTTTATAGTAATTTATTATACTCCTCTAAACAAAATACTATTTTATAGTAATTTATTATACTCCTCTAATATTTTATAGTAATTTATTATACTCTCTAAACAAAATACTATTTTATTGTAATTTATTATACTCCTCTAAACAAAATACTATTTTATACTATAATTTTATCATATTTGCTAAGAAATATACTTTGCAAATCATACTCTTTTTGTAATTTGCTTCGATCAGCAAATCGAAAAATTCGCACGTTCCTGATTTTAAATTTGTTAAATTTGAACTATATATAATAAAATGGATGCGTATCATTTCTCACCAATAGCCCAGTTCACCGACAATTAATTCACCGACAGTTTATTTCACCGGTTGCTCATTTCGTCAAGTTTTTTTTTTATATATTACACTAACCTTAACTCTAATTCTAATCGACAATGACCAGAAGTGAAATGATTGCCACCGATGTATGTAGCAGTTTAAGTTGATTTTAAATTCGATACTGGAATAAATGTGTAATCGATTGAAGTAACGATAGTTAAAATAAATTATATATTTATACATTTCTCTTTTTCATTCTTTTCTTTCAATCAGATGACCGAACCTCAAGATTATCCCTTTTTATCTAAATATTTTAGTAGCAAATCGGTTAACATGCGACGTATACATCTTGGAACATCAACATCAACAAATCCTATAATCCAGCTTATTAAATTAAATCCCAACCTACTTAAATACCCAATTCGTTGCGTTGTGAATAATATACACGATAAGATGACTTTGTTGTCAGAACAGGAGTGTCCTTCGATAGTCCTTTGTTTCATAAAATGGCTAGAAATGTTTGTTATATTACAAGTTCATACAAAGTCCCACATTTGACTACAAATGGAGCGATGTAAAATTGCAATTGTGCCTTTGGCACATCGAAAGAGCCAATCGACTACAATATCACGACACCTTACCGAAAGTATATCTATTTAAGATCCAATTTTATCAAGAATATACTAGCCAAACCTTTCGGACGATTTTCATTAACATGTGGCACTCAACTATTCATAAATGTCACTGTTGTTACAGGATCATGGATTAGTGACAACTGGAGAATAGTCAAAATAATTTAAAATTTCAATAATCAGGCCAAACAGCAGAAGAAATATTAAACATCTTAAAAGAATATTCTATTAAAGAGAAATATCCGCACTCACTGTGGATAACACCGCTACAAATAAAGCCATAAGCCATACGAATTTCCGAATACAATATCGATAGGTTTGATTTCTTTATTTAGTTTTTTATGTTTATTCTTTGTATTAGCTTTTAATTTTTTTAATTTATTTTTATATATATACGTACCTTTTCTTTAGGATGCATGTGTCACATTCTCAACCTTATCGTTAAAGAGACACAATTCCATTACAAAATCAGGTGAAAAATTCGCATGATATGCATGATAAAAAGACTAATTATTTATTATATATTTATCTATACGTATAATTATCCAATGTTAGAATTTAGATTATGTTAAAAAAAATTTATTCGGATAATATCACAAGAAAAAAAGCTCAATTTTTTATCTTTTTTTATTAATAATTTATATTTAATTAATAAAGTTTAATACTAAAATTTACAATAGAAAAATAAAACAAGTGAATAGAATTATATGCTAATAGAAAAAGTATTATCACCCCTTCCAATGTTTCAGAATTTTTGATCTTAACCTTGCTCGTAATGAGTTTTATTCGGAAAATTTTCAGAATAAACGACAAACGGTAAGTTCTCATTTATTACTATGCAAACGAGACAGATTTTGTGCCATTTATAAATTGTAAAGTACTGTTTTCCCACATAGGAAATAAGGGTGTTTATCTTCGTATAATATTATGTCATGATCGACTCAAATAATTTTCTTTTTATTTTTCGTACGTACTAAGAAAATTATCAGATCTTCGCTTTAATGATACAATCAACGTTAATTAAAAACTTTTACACTTAAGAATATAATATCATCGCGCCGATTAAGAGAATTATAAAAAAAAAACCTTCGTCTTAAATAAATTTATTGTGTTATATCATGTACTAAGAGAATTTTAAGACCTTCGTTTAATTAATGCTATTGCAACGATTAGAGATTTTAAAGTCTTAAAACTATTGTGCAAACTAAAAGAATTATTTTCAAATTTAAAGTGCACCCAGGAAATAACAAACATTTCTGGTATTACCCTTGTTTCTTAACATCATTTTTAATTCCTTATTTACCCCTGCACAATTATAATTGATCATTATTCAAACCTTTAACCGTACAACCGTATCTCTATTTTCCTTATTACCATATCAATATGCATGATCCATACTATAATGACCGTTAACGCGTAATTGTTGAATACACGAATAAGCAGCCGTTCATTTACTATGAAGGGAAAAAAAAATTTCCGTAACTTTGCGTAATTTTACGTAATTTTAAGAAAGTTTACGTAAATCGAATTTCATGTACCATATAGTTCCGAAAATAAGCACATGTAATGCTTACTAAAATAATTATAACGCAGGCCAAAATCGGTATAGTGCAGGCCAGGGGTGCTTATTTCGGAACTATACGGTAATTTTGATCATATGAATAATGTTGGCCAAAACTTTTATAGAGCCGAACATAATGGGATATATAGTAATGCCGGTAAAAAGTTTTGTAATGTTGGTAAAATCATCACGTGATAATCAACTGTAAGGTTACATTACCGTTACAGTTTCGTAAATTACAATGTAAAAATTTCATGTAGCGTAAAAATATAATTTTGCGTAATACAACCCTATTATTATGATGGCGTTAACGATTAATGCTCGGAGGAACGGTGATGTGAAGAGAAAGCTTTATTTGTATTGATGAGAATAAGGGTTGTAATAGATAAAGGAATTACGGATAGTAGTGGCTGTGTAGTTATAAGAGCTCATCGAATTCGTCTTGCTTGTGTTTTCAGGTTCTTTCTGAGTGATCCCTCCTTTATAAATAAAGACTTCTGTGTGATTCTTATTTATGCACATGCGCACACTCTCTAAAGCCGGATTCACAGCATTATGAAATACTTAGCTAATCCCTTAAGTAGAGATGTTGGCATATTGTCGAATTTCTAAAATAAATTTTTTGCGACCTATTCCCGCAATAGATATGCGTTGGAATTCCACATTGGCCATGCTTGAGAGATACCTTCATTTACATTCAGCAATTTCCAAGATGTGCTTGAAGAACTGTCAATGCCTTTCTGATTAGACAATGAAAGCTTTCTAGCCCTTAAACCCCCTGTCAATTCCTTAAACCATTCGAACTTCTTTCTAAAGAACAATCAAATTCAATTTCTAATACAATATTGATTATTAGAAATTAGTCTGCACATTAATAATGCTAGGAGTAACATGATCCATAAAATGAAAATAATTTTTTGAAAAATATTGGAACATAATCATCTACTTGACCCAAGGTATAAGTTGAATCACTTAAAAGCAACTTTAATTGAAGTTGTTAAATATATTGAAAGTGATACAGAACCATTTGTTGATTGAAACTGTTGAGATCAATGATGATTATTCTACACCTGATTTCTTATTTCCTAGAAGAAGAATTTCAAAAAAAAAAACCCGAAAACACGAACAATTGAATACGAATTAGAATTATATGAAAATGAGCCTCTTGAAGAGTGCACAAATGGTGATGAGAAAAAAGAAAATAATGGAATACTATTTTGGGAATCATTATCCCAATAATTAGTAGAATGGCACGCGATTATCTAGGCATTCAACCTTCAAGCGTTTCTAGTGAGAGGGCATTTTCAAGGGCTGGTTTTACGCTTACTAGCGATAGAGCAAATATTAGTGAAAAAACTGTTTCTAGCACAATACTTATGAATTTGTGGCTAGTAGAAAGCCAAAATGAATTTAGTCCTCTTAACGCTCTTCCGTAAACAAATAAATTTCAAAATATGTTTTTGGTGAAAAAAATATCATTAATAACAGATTAAGATGAAATCAGATTTAGGGGTAGGATTTATAATAAACAAATATAAGTAGGTTTAATAGAAACTTCAAATCCTCGACATTTATTTATTTTTGCATATATTCAATATATATTTAATTAACATCTACTATTAATTTGCGTATTTTTTAATTTTTTCATTCTTATACATATTTGTATTCTTGGCACACATAAAGTTAGGTTCGTTATTATTATTGTTTGTTTCTTGTAATATTGATATTATACTATATATTATTTTTAGAGTACATAAAATTGGTTTTCAAATAACTTGTTAAAAAATAGATTAGATTAATTTTCTGTACTAAGTAACTTTATATGAAAGGATATTAATAACAAGTATGATCGAGTGGCAAAGAATACAAATATGTATAAGAATGAAAAAATTAAAAAATACGCAAATTAATAGTAGATGTTAATTAAATATATATTGAATATATGCAAAAATAAATAAATGTCGAGGATTTGAAGTTTCTATTAAACCTACTTATATTTGTTTATTATAAATCCTACCCCTAAATCTGATTTCATCTTAATCTGTTATTAATGATATTTTTTTCACCAAAAACATATTTTGAAATTTATTTGTTTACGGAAGAGCGTTAAGAGGACTAAATTCATTTTGGCTTTCTACTAGCCACAAATTCATAAGTATTGTGCTAGAAACAGTTTTTTCACTAATATTTGCTCTATCGCTAGTAAGCGTAAAACCAGCCCTTGAAAATGCCCTCTCACTAGAAACGCTTGAAGGTTGAATGCCTAGATAATCGCGTGCCATTCTACTAATTATTGGGATAATGATTCCCAAAATAGTATTCCATTATTTTCTTTTTTCTCATCACCATTTGTGCACTCTTCAAGAGGCTCATTTTCATATAATTCTAATTCGTATTCAATTGTTCGTGTTTTCGGGTTTTTTTTTTTGAAATTCTTCTTCTAGGAAATAAGAAATCAGGTGTAGAATAATCATCATTGATCTCAACAGTTTCAATCAACAAATGGTTCTGTATCACTTTCAATATATTTAACAACTTCAATTAAAGTTGCTTTTAAGTGATTCAACTTATACCTTGGGTCAAGTAGATGATTATGTTCCAATATTTTTCAAAAAATTATTTTCATTTTATGGATCATGTTACTCCTAGCATTATTAATGTGCAGACTAATTTCTAATAATCAATATTGTATTAGAAATTGAATTTGATTGTTCTTTAGAAAGAAGTTCGAATGGTTTAAGGAATTGACAGGGGGTTTAAGGGCTAGAAAGCTTTCATTGTCTAATCAGAAAGGCATTGACAGTTCTTCAAGCACATCTTGGAAATTGCTGAATGTAAATGAAGGTATCTCTCAAGCATGGCCAATGTGGAATTCCAACGCATATCTATTGCGGGAATAGGTCGCAAAAAATTTATTTTAGAAATTCGACAATATGCCAACATCTCTACTTAAGGGATTAGCTAAGTATTTCATAATGCTGTGAATCCGGCTTTAGAGAGTGTGCGCATGTGCATAAATAAGAATCACACAGAAGTCTTTATTTATAAAGGAGGGATCACTCAGAAAGAACCTGAAAACACAAGCAAGACGAATTCGATGAGCTCTTATAACTACACAGCCACTACTATCCGTAATTCCTTTATCTATTACAACCCTTATTCTCATCAATACAAATAAAGCTTTCTCTTCACATCACCGTTCCTCCGAGCATTAATCGTTAACGCCATCATAATAATAGGGTTGTATTACGCAAAATTATATTTTTACGCTACATGAAATTTTTACATTGTAATTTACGAAACTGTAACGGTAATGTAACCTTACAGTTGATTATCACGTGATGATTTTACCAACATTACAAAACTTTTTACCGGCATTACTATATATCCCATTATGTTCGGCTCTATAAAAGTTTTGGCCAACATTATTCATATGATCAAAATTACCGTATAGTTCCGAAATAAGCACCCCTGGCCTGCACTATACCGATTTTGGCCTGCGTTATAATTATTTTAGTAAGCATTACATGTGCTTATTTTCGGAACTATATGGTACATGAAATTCGATTTACGTAAACTTTCTTAAAATTACGTAAAATTACGCAAAGTTACGGAAATTTTTTTTTCCCTTCATAGTAAATGAACGGCTGCTTATTCGTGTATTCAACAATTACGCGTTAACGGTCATTATAGTATGGATCATGCATATTGATATGGTAATAAGGAAAATAGAGATACGGTTGTACGGTTAAAGGTTTGAATAATGATCAATTATAATTGTGCAGGGGTAAATAAGGAATTAAAAATGATGTTAAGAAACAAGGGTAATACCAGAAATGTTTGTTATTTCCTGGGTGCACTTTAAATTTGAAAATAATTCTTTTAGTTTGCACAATAGTTTTAAGACTTTAAAATCTCTAATCGTTGCAATAGCATTAATTAAACGAAGGTCTTAAAATTCTCTTAGTACATGATATAACACAATAAATTTATTTAAGACGAAGGTTTTTTTTTTATAATTCTCTTAATCGGCGCGATGATATTATATTCTTAAGTGTAAAAGTTTTTAATTAACGTTGATTGTATCATTAAAGCGAAGATCTGATAATTTTCTTAGTACGTACGAAAAATAAAAAGAAAATTATTTGAGTCGATCATGACATAATATTATACGAAGATAAACACCCTTATTTCCTATGTGGGAAAACAGTACTTTACAATTTATAAATGGCACAAAATCTGTCTCGTTTGCATAGTAATAAATGAGAACTTACCGTTTGTCGTTTATTCTGAAAATTTTCCGAATAAAACTCATTACGAGCAAGGTTAAGATCAAAAATTCTGAAACATTGGAAGGGGTGATAATACTTTTTCTATTAGCATATAATTCTATTCACTTGTTTTATTTTTCTATTGTAAATTTTAGTATTAAACTTTATTAATTAAATATAAATTATTAATAAAAAAAGATAAAAAATTGAGCTTTTTTTCTTGTGATATTATCCGAATAAATTTTTTTTAACATAATCTAAATTCTAACATTGGATAATTATACGTATAGATAAATATATAATAAATAATTAGTCTTTTTATCATGCATATCATGCGAATTTTTCACCTGATTTTGTAATGGAATTGTGTCTCTTTAACGATAAGGTTGAGAATGTGACACATGCATCCTAAAGAAAAGGTACGTATATATATAAAAATAAATTAAAAAAATTAAAAGCTAATACAAAGAATAAACATAAAAAACTAAATAAAGAAATCAAACCTATCGATATTGTATTCGGAAATTCGTATGGCTTATGGCTTTATTTGTAGCGGTGTTATCCACAGTGAGTGCGGATATTTCTCTTTAATAGAATATTCTTTTAAGATGTTTAATATTTCTTCTGCTGTTTGGCCTGATTATTGAAATTTTAAATTATTTTGACTATTCTCCAGTTGTCACTAATCCATGATCCTGTAACAACAGTGACATTTATGAATAGTTGAGTGCCACATGTTAATGAAAATCGTCCGAAAGGTTTGGCTAGTATATTCTTGATAAAATTGGATCTTAAATAGATATACTTTCGGTAAGGTGTCGTGATATTGTAGTCGATTGGCTCTTTCGATGTGCCAAAGGCACAATTGCAATTTTACATCGCTCCATTTGTAGTCAAATGTGGGACTTTGTATGAACTTGTAATATAACAAACATTTCTAGCCATTTTATGAAACAAAGGACTATCGAAGGACACTCCTGTTCTGACAACAAAGTCATCTTATCGTGTATATTATTCACAACGCAACGAATTGGGTATTTAAGTAGGTTGGGATTTAATTTAATAAGCTGGATTATAGGATTTGTTGATGTTGATGTTCCAAGATGTATACGTCGCATGTTAACCGATTTGCTACTAAAATATTTAGATAAAAAGGGATAATCTTGAGGTTCGGTCATCTGATTGAAAGAAAAGAATGAAAAAGAGAAATGTATAAATATATAATTTATTTTAACTATCGTTACTTCAATCGATTACACATTTATTCCAGTATCGAATTTAAAATCAACTTAAACTGCTACATACATCGGTGGCAATCATTTCACTTCTGGTCATTGTCGATTAGAATTAGAGTTAAGGTTAGTGTAATATATAAAAAAAAAACTTGACGAAATGAGCAACCGGTGAAATAAACTGTCGGTGAATTAATTGTCGGTGAACTGGGCTATTGGTGAGAAATGATACGCATCCATTTTATTATATATAGTTCAAATTTAACAAATTTAAAATCAGGAACGTGCGAATTTTTCGATTTGCTGATCGAAGCAAATTACAAAAAGAGTATGATTTGCAAAGTATATTTCTTAGCAAATATGATAAAATTATAGTATAAAATAGTATTTTGTTTAGAGGAGTATAATAAATTACAATAAAATAGTATTTTGTTTAGAGAGTATAATAAATTACTATAAAATATTAGAGGAGTATAATAAATTACTATAAAATAGTATTTTGTTTAGAGGAGTATAATAAATTACTATAAAATAGTATTTTATTTAGAGTATAATAAATTACCATAAAATAGTATTTTGTTTAGCGGAACATAATAAATTACCATAAAATAGTATGTTCTTTAGCGGAACAGTCTAATGAAATTTAATGCAATTTTTTTTAAAAAAAAATCGCAAGTTTTTTTTTTACTAGATAAATTTTTAGAATTTATGTACGTACAAATAAGTAAATCACATATTTTGCTAAATTATATCACAGATTCCGCAGATCCCTGTTTAGAATCAACTTAAATCACTTTTAGATTGTGGATTGCATTTGGGATTCCAGTTCAACCTAAGTACATAGAGTCTAAATCTACAATAATTATATTTCGGTGGAGATTGAAAAATGGCATGCATCGATTAACGTTAATAATTGGCAAAGTTTAAGAATCA